ATGTGCTATATAAAGAGCTCTCAGCACGCAACAGTGCCACGTGGCCAGGATGTAGCACCACACCGAGGCCCACATGCACTCACGCACCTGACGTAGGTGAGGCGAAACCTCCTCGGGAGCTGGAAGTCCAGCTGGATGGTCCCACACTGCTGGGACCTGCCCCGGGCGTCCTTGATGCTGACGTCGATCTGCAAAGCCAGCGAGGGCTGCTCAGACATGGATCCCGCTTCTCTGTTCCCCTGACCTTCCACAAGGAGGCCCGTTTACCTTAGGGCCATAGAACGCCCCATCTCCTGGGCTCAGCTTCCACGGTTTTCCAAAGTCCGCCAGGCTCTTCTGCAGCTGCTGTGGAGGAAAAGAGAGATGAGAGCGTGCCGGGCTGGCGGGACATGGGCCTCTGAGCCCTCCGCACCCGGTGGCCGCGGCCACCCTGGCGTTCCCCGAGTCCCCACTCCGTCCCCACCCACCTCCTCAGCCTCGTCCCACAACGCCAGCTCGCCCAGGAAGTGTTCCGGCCGCGTTGACAGGTTTAACTGAAAGGACACGCCGAACGTGGAGTAGACGGACTGCAAGAACTGCAGACAGCCCCGGATCTCCTCTTCGACCTGAAAAGAGGGCAAAGGAAATGTTTTATTAATAAACAAACAAACAAACAAATAAATAAATAAATAAATTTAAATATCTTTTTATCGACTTCAGCCCTGACTGGTGTGGCTCAGTGGGTAGAGCATCGGCCTCCAGACTGATGGGACCTGGGGTTCAATTCCAGTCAAGAGCACGTGCCCGAGTGACAGGCTCAGTCCCTGTTTGGGGCCGTGCAGAAGGCTGCTGAGCCGTGATTCTCTCATTGATGTTCCTCTCCCTCCCCCTCTCTGATGTGAAATATATATATATACAATTAAAAGAGATTACTGATCTGTGACCCCGACTGGAGAATCACAGACTGTGATGCTGAAGGAGACCTCAGAGGCCAGACTGAACTCTGCAGTTCAGGGAGGCCCTGAGGGGCTGAGGCGGGCGCCCCGCCCCGCCCCGCCCACCTGCTCCTCGGTGCAGAAGATGTGGGCGTCGTCCTGCTGGAAGCGCCGCACCCGGGTCAGGCCACTCAGGGCTCCCGACGGCTCGCTTCTGTGAAGAACCCCGAAGTCGGCAAACCGCACGGGCATTTCCCTCCAGGACCGCGGGCGGTGGGCAAACATGAGACTGGAAAAGAGGCGGAGAGAGGGCCAAGCGATGAGTGGAACCATAACAGGTCACGAGGGTGCCCCCGGACGGGTCCCTCTTTATTCTGGTCCTTAGGAGGTCGCCAGCGTCAGAGAAATTTCTTCTCCTGTGAGTCACCGCACCTTGGACTTGCATGGCTCCGGCGCCCTACGGACCTGTCTACCCTCTCTCCCAGAATGCACCTCTCCCACAAGGCAGCCTCCTGCTCCCATTCACCCAGGGAATTCCCACTCACTGTTTATAACTCATTCCAGAGGCCACATTTTTTCTTTTAAAGAACAGTTTATTGCCTTGCCGGTGTGGCTCAGTGATTGAGCATCAACCTACAAACCAGGAGGTCACAGTTCGATTCCCGGTCAGGGCACATGTCTGGGTTGCAGATCCCCAGTGTGGGGCGTGCAGGAGGCAGCCGACCCATGATTCTCTCATCACTGATGTTTATATCTCTTTCTCCCTCTCTCTTCCTCTCTAAAATCAATAAGAAAAAAAAAATTTTTTTTTTTCACAAAAAAGACTAATTTATTGGTATTTCGAGAGTGGAGAAGGGAGATGGAGAGAAACATCAATGTGAGAGCGAAATATCCATTGGCTGCCTCCTGCATGCCCCCTACTGGGGATCGAACCCACAATCCGGGCGTGTGCCCTGACCAGGAATGGAACCGTGACCTCTCGTCGTGCACAGACGACGCCCAGCCCCGAGCCACACCGGCCGCCTGCCTGCCCGTGACTGCTCACCAGTGTGCCGGACAGTTCATGGGCTTGAGGGCGAACGTGTCCTTGTCCACGTCGAAGGCGAACATGCTCTGGCTGTGAAGCTGCCAGTGGCCTGAGGCCTCCCAGAGCTTGCTGCTGAGCACGTTGGGGGAGAGCACCTCCATGAAGCCACGGCGGTGGCACTCCTCCTGCGGGGAAGACAGGGGAGGTCAGCGCCGAGGAGGCCTGCCCTGGGGCCCGTGTGCTCAGGGTCACCGTGTCCACCTGGGAGGACGGGCCCTCAGCTGGGCGTGGTCCCCTCGGGGTCAGGAACGGGGGATGCACACGCCTGTGTCTCACGTCGGGGATGTGTGTTTTACCGTATGCGACGGCGCACGATGCTTTAAGTCTTTGGGATGCTACTCAGAGCGCGTTTGTTTATGAAAGCATGAACCTCCAAGGCCAGCGGGAAAGGAGCGGAGGTGAGAGCTCACCTTTAGGATCAGGAAGGCAGGGCAGGGAGGATCTGGAAGCAGCCTGCTCCAGCTGACAGAGGCCTCTAGGACCCACAGTTATTATTATTATTATTATTGTTGAGATTTTTACGAAAGTTATTTTTACAGAGAGAGGAAGGGAGAGGGAGAGAGGGATAGAAACATGGATGAGAGGGAAACCAATAGGCTGCCTCCTGCACGTTCCACACTAAGGATCGAGCCTGGAACGTGGGCACGTGCCCCGACCGGGAATTGAACCGCGGCCTCCCGGTTCATAGGGCGATGCTCAACCCCTGAGCCACGCCGGCCAGGCTGTGGGACCCACATGTTTAAGGCAGCGGTTCTGTCTCCTCTCGAAAACAGCACTGCCGTTCCGGTACCCCACACCACGTCTGTGCTCTCTCTCTCGGGAAGCCTTTAGAATATTTTCTTTCTCTCTCGGTAATGGACGGCGGTGGCCAAGGACAGCATGCTTTCACACGCAAAACCCCGGCACCAGACCTGCCTCTGCAGGGAGCGGACACCGTCCCTTGCCCACGTGGGGCCCCCGATGCTACGGAGCCCGCAGGCAGAGCCCGGCCGGCTCTCTGGGCAGGATGCCGCCCCGGTTCCAGGGACACTGGCACACAGCAGAGTGAGAAGACCACGTCGGGGGTGCAGGGAGGAGCCTCAGGCCCGTCCTTATCCCACAGCGGCCAGCGGAGAACCCCAGGGACCCAGCAAAGACAGGCCCGTGGGAACCGGGTCCCCGGGGGAAGATGGGGGCGCCCGCTGTCCGGGTGGATGGTATCCCTGCCCCCGAGAAGCTAGAGGAGCGCAGAACGCGAACCGATCGGAAAACGGTCTTTATCGAGGTGGTCAGTTCAGAGGTCACTGGAGTGGATCTTAATCCAATGGGCCAGGCTTCCTCATAAAAAGAGGAGGTTTGGAGAGAGAGAGAGAGAGAGAGAGAGAGAGAGAGAGAGAGAGAGAGGGAGAGAGAGAAGGAGGGAGGGAACAGATGAAGAGGAAGATGACGCAAAGATACGCAGAGAGGACGCCAGGGGAAGGCAGGAGACTGGAGGGAGGCACTGACCCGCCAGGGAAGCCCAGCGTGACGGACACGCCAGCCCTGGCTGGGGAAGGCAGGGAGGACGGGCTCCCCGAGGGTCTCAGAGGGAGCACGGCTCTGCCCGCGCCCGGATTTCATGCTGCCGGCCTCGGGAACAGGGAAAGGACACATTCCTGCTGTAGGCCACTCGTGTGTGTGTGTGTGTGTGTGTGTGTGTGTTTAGTAAATATATTTTTACTGATGTCAGAGAGGAAGGGAGAGTGAAAGAAAGACAGAAACACTTATGAGAGAATCATGGATCGGCTGCGTTCTGCACGCCCCCTACTTGGGATGGAGCCCCCAGCCCGGGCCTGCGCCCTGATTGGGAACCCAACCGTGACCTCCTGGTTCCTAGGTCGGCGCTCCACCGCTGAGCCCCGCCGGCCGGGCCGATTTTGCAGCTTTCTGTGTGTGCTGCAGGCCAAGGCAATCCCCTCGGCTATGTCTGGCCCCCGTGCCCATCCCAACATTCGGGGCGCAGGCCTCCCCCCAGCACCCTTACCTTGGCGTGTGAGGCCTGGGGCTGTGTCTAAAGGGCTGCGCACCCTGCGCCTCACGCAGGGAGGCCTGGGGCCGCCCCCCGCCAGGTCTGTGTCGCATCTGCGAGAGACAAGAGACCCTGTGAGGCCGCCCCGGAGGCCCCGCCTCGTCTCAGCGCGCTCCTCCCGCGGCCTGCAGAGTTCGGGGTGCCGGGCCTGGATGCCTTTCCAGCAAAGAGAGAGGTCAGCAGTCAGGATGGGCTTGCCCCCCGCTGGCGCCTCTGATCACAGTCAGCGACTCCTCAAGCCTCGCCGCCCTGCCCTCTGATGGCCGCCTACGGCCTCGCGGGAGCCGCCGGCCGCTGGGCAGCACGCACAGCCCAGGCGAGAGCCCCGGGGGGCAGCGCCCCGGGCGCAGCGCGAGAAGAGGGGACAAAGGGAGACGAGTGAGCCGCACAGAACCACCGGCACACGCCACGTGCTCTGTCCCCGGGAAGTTTTCCTTTTTTTTTTTTTTTTAAATATATTTTTACTGATATCAGAGAGGAAGGGAGATGGAGAAGGAGAGAGAGAGAGAGAGAGACATCGATGATGAGAGGGAACCATGGAGCAGCTGCCTCCTGCACGCCCCACACTGGGGATGGAGCCCGCAACCCGGGCCTGTGCCCTGACCGGGATAAGAACCGTGGCCTCCCGGTTCAGAGGTCGATGCCCAGCCACGGAGCCACGCGGGCCGGGCTCCCCAGGAAGCTCCTGGAGAAAGGGCTTGGTGAAGCCCAATGGGAGGGGTAAGCGAGGAGGAGGAAGACGCGCCATGGGGGGAGAGGAGCGCGAGCACAGGACGGCGACAGGAAGAAGCCTCTGGAGCGAGAAGACCCGAAGGACAGAGTCACCGGGGGACCCGCCCCGGGCCACCAGAGTGCGCGGCCAGGGCTGTCCGTCCTGACAGACAGCAGGGGGCGGGCCAGGGACGGGCATTCGGCACCGGGCCCTGGCCCTTGTCGCTGGTCCATGGTGACGGAGACGAAGAGCGCGGGAAGGGACGTCACCCCGTAGTCCGCGGTCCCGCCCCGTGACGGACGCCCGCCCACGCGTGTGCCCTGCGGCCGAGCGCCTTCAGAGCTCTGCCCCCCTTTGGCCCGGAGCCGCCCGCTCTCCCCGCTCACGCGGATGAAGCCCAGCAGCGTGTGGTAGACGGAGGCTCCCCGCGGGAGGAAGAAGCAGCTCCCGGGGCTCAGGTCGTGGAAGAAGAAAAGCTCCTGGTCCTGCAACGACACGTGACACATAACACGCGCTGACACATAACACGCGCTGACACATAACACGCGCCAACACATAACACGCGCCGCCACATAACACGCGCCGCCACATAACGCGCGCCGACACATAACGCGTGCCGACACATAACACGCGCTGACACATAACACGTGCCGACACATAACACGTGCCGACACATAACATGTGCCGGGCCCCGTTCCCATCCCCCAGCCACGGCACCCACTGTCCCTCGGGACTTCCACCCAACGGCCCCCAACGGCACCCGGGAAGCGACACTGTGGATGGACGGTCTCGCTACCCTTCGAGCCGTAGCTTCTGCTCCGCCTTCTATTTCCTGCTGACTTTCTCACTTGGCATCTCGGGGGACGGATGCCACGGGGAGAAAACATGGCGAAAAGACCAGAAATTAGCCGAAACCGGTTTGGCTCAGTGGTTGAGCTTCGACCCATGACTTGGGTTTGACTTCCAGTCAGGGCACAGGCCTGGGCGGCGGGCTCTATACCCAGTAGGGGGCGTGCAGGAGGCAGACGGACCATGATTCTCTCCTCATTGATGTTTCTCTCTCTCCTCTCTCCCCGCCTCCCACCTCTGAAATCAGTAAAATGTTTTTAAAAGATATTTAAGCACCTAGGAGGACACATGTTACTTTTGGGACACTTTGGTTTGGGGACAGAGGGGCGAGCTGACAAAGTCCTGCTCCATCTCAGGGGCGAGGGGGGGGGGAGGAGGGAGGAAAGAGACGCCAGCCCTACCTTCCCGATTCTCCTGTGGTCTCGGCTGCCGGCCTCCTCCTGGGCCTCCTCCCAGGCTGTCATCATCTTGCTCTCGGGGAGGGACACCCCGCAGATCCGCTGCAGCGCCTCCCTAGCCGGGCTGTCCTCATGCACCGGGACTCTGGCCTTTTAAAAGAAAAGCCGGTTTGGCTCAGTGGATAGAGCATCAGCCCGTGGACTGCAGGGTCCCAGGTTCGATTCCGGTCAAGGCCGCATACCGCAATTGCAGGCTTAATCCCCAACCCTGGTTGGGTGCAAGTGCAGGAGGCAACCAATCAATGTGTCTCTCATATCGATGTTTTTTTCTCTCTGTCTCTGTCTCTCCCCCATCCCTTCCATTCTCTCTAAGAATCAATAGGAAAATATCCTCAGGTGAAGATTAACCAGAAAAACAAGTACATTAAGTTAAAGAGTAAGAGTATTCTTTATAAAGGACCCTTGAATTTTTCAGTCAAGCAGAAAACGCTTTTTTTTTTTTTTACAAGTCAATTCATCATTTCGTATTTTCTGAGTTTTCTCGATTTGTTTTGCGATAGGGTTTCTTTCTCATGAATAGGCAATCAATATTCATAAATTGGTTGATGTCCGCAGTCTTGTTAATATGTTTACAATGATGGGAAAATAAAACTCGGGGGGGGGATAAATCTTTGATGGTAAATTACACTAAAAGCAGCACAGGCCCGGCCGGCGTGGCTTGGTGGTTGAGTGCTGATATGAATCACAGGCAGCATTTTTACTTACCTGGCTGTCAGGCTCCTGTTCCCCCTTCGCATTCTGAATGTCCTCTTCTTGGTTTGGACTAGAAGGAGGCTGGGGAGAGAAAGGTAAACGGTAAACAGCTCATGCCCGCGACAAGAAAGAGCAGCAGCCGAAACCGGTTTGGCTCAGTGGATAGAGCATCGGTCTGCGAACTGAAAGGTCCCAGGTTCGATTCCGGTCAGGGGCATGTACCTTGGTTGCGGGCACATCCCTGGTAGGGGGTGTGCAAGAGGCAGCTGGTCGATGTTTCTCTCTCATTGACATTTCTAGTTCTCTCCCTTCCTCTCTGTAAAAAAATCAATATGACCTGAGGGAGGAGGGGGACATGCCAGCAGGCAGCAAGTGCCCCCCACCCCTGTTTGGGGGCTCTGGGCTGTCCTAAGCAACCCCTACAGCCCTCATTGGGCACGTTGTTTTCTGAAGTTTGGTCCTTCCTGTCTGGGAATTCCCCTATATTCTTGCTAAGAACTGGAGATGTATTTTAAAATATTTAAATATATATATACATAAGTACTTATTGATTTCAGAAAGAGGAAAGGAGAGGAAGATAGAAACATCCTCGATGAGAGAGAATCATGGATCAGCTGTCTCCTGCTCACCCCACACTGGGGATCGACCCCTGACCTCCTGGTTCATGGGTGGATGCTCAACCACAGAGCCACGCCTGCAGAACTATGTTTATATACTTACTGCATTTTAAACCTAAATACATTTAATTATTTTAAAGCCCCCCCTCCCCTAGACTTTAAACAAGTAATGTCACTGGAAAACGGTGGTGTGGCTGCCACCAGGGACTCGCAGCCCATTTTTTCACCAAGATGGGGATAGGGGCCCCTGGTTTTCAAGAACTGTGCCCACTAAACATAGGAATTGTATGACATTGCAGAAAAGTAACTTGTCCTTCAATGAATTAAAAGAGTGAAATCCTGCACTAAATAATGATGCTCCACACACAGACCTCAAGACAATAAAACCCCAACGCGCCCAAGCGAAAACTAGAACTTTCAACATGCCAGCAATTTTTTGTGGGGGAAGGATCCCCAAGCAAAGGAAATGGCTCTTCTGCTCCTGCAGAATCACGGGCGGCAGCGATGGAAGCGGGGAGCTGAGCGGAGCTGAGCGTGCAAACTGGCCAGCCCGGCGGCCGCGGGGAAGGCAGGGTCCCGGGTCCCGGGAGGGCAGGGCACGCCCGCAGGGGCCGGGAAGGACCGGGGAAAAGCAGGCTCAGGGTGCCCCCCGCGGAGGGAGTCCCGCCGCCCGCTACCTGCCTCCTCCTCCCGCGCCGCCCGGCGGCTCCGCTCCTCCGCGAGGCTCAGCCGCAGGCGGGACAGGCGGCGCCGCAGGTCCTGGTTCTCCGCCCGCAGCCGCGCCACCTCCCGCGGGAGGCAGGGCCCCCCGGCCGGGCCGCGGTCGGGCGCGTTCAGCTGCGCGTCCCGCAGGCGCTGGACCTCCGCCCACAGCCAGCGGACGTCCTCCTCCTGCCGCTGCAGCCGCGAAGCCGCCGCCTCGGCCGCCAGCGCCTCGGCCGCCATGGCGCCCGCCTCCCTCAGCGAGGGCGCCGCGCCGTGGCAGCCGCGGGGGACGGGGAGGACGAAGGGGCAGCGGGGACCGGACACCCGTGAGGGGCAGGGCGACGGGCGGGCGGGGACCTTGGGAACTGGGGAGGCGGGGCCGCGGTTACGTACAGCGCAGGGGCGTGGCCATGGGAACGCGTAGCCATGGGAACCTAGAAGGCGGAGCCACGCGGAGAGGCGTGGCTGCGGTACGTACAGCGCAGGGGCGGGGTTATACTGGGTGAGGCGGGGTTACAGTTACGTACAGCGCAAAGGCGGGGCTATAGGAACCGGGAAGGCGGGGCTGCCGGTACGCACAGCGTAGGGGCGGAGCCTATAGGCACCGGGAAGGCGGGGCTACCGTTACGCAAAGCGTAGGGGCCGGGCTACGGGAACCGGGAAGGCGGGGCTGCCGTTACGCACAGCGTAAGGGCGGGGGGGTTATGGGAACCGGAAAGGCGGGGCTGCCTTACGTAGACCGTAGAGGCGGAGCCACGTAAACTGGAGAGGCGGGGTTACCATTACGTACGGCGAAGGGGCAGGGCTATGGGAACTAGGGGGAGGGGCGATCGTCAGAGGCGGGGCTGCGGCTACGTACAGCGCAGGGGCGGGGCTATAGGACCTGGGGAGGCGGGGCGCCGGGGAGGGGTGGGACTGAGGTTACGTAGACCGCAGGGGCGGGGCCTGGAGGGCGGGGCGGGGCCCGAATAAGTTCAAGGTGCTTTCAACGCTCTTCGCTTGTCGCCGGGCGTCCGCTGAACGCAAAAGGTCTAAAATCTTGGAAAGGTTAGCATCTCCCTCCCGGGAATGGCTCCTGACTCCGCCCTCCCAAGTTCTGGCTTCCACTAGTCTCTCACCTGGCTTCAAGGCTCGAAATGAGACAAAGCCCTTATGTGCATGTATGCATTCCCTATAGGCACAGACAATAGGGTGGCGAGGGCCTGGGGCGGGGTGGGACCCGGGTGGAGGGGAGCTATGAGGGGAAAAAGAGGGACATCTGTAATAATCTCAACAATAAAGATTACAATTTTTAAAAAAGTGGCCACTGATCCCTGGCGGGTTTGTGGATTGAAGGGTCCTGGGTTTGATTCCGGTCAAGGGCATGTACCTTGGTTGCAGGCACATCCCATCTGCAGGCTGACGCTCTGTCTCTGAGCCAAACCGGTTTTGGCCCTTACTGTGAACGTAAAACTGCTCCAAAAGTCTATTTAAAAAGAGAAAAGAAAAAAAACACACAAAAAAAAAAACCGTGCCCTGTAATACTGCAAAATGCCCACCAGATGGCAGCATTTCCTTCAGAATTTTCGACTCGGCGTCCAATTAACTTGATGGCTAACGGGAAGGAAAGCCACCAATTCTGGGACCGCTGGTCCAGTCTTCCGTGAGGCTCCAAGTGCTGCCCAATATAAGGTACATTGCCCCAGCCCATCCCTGGGCGTGTACTTTACCAGTAAACGGATATTTTAAACATAAGTGTATGCCCTAGCCCCGTGGCTGGCAAACTGCGGCTCTCGAGCCACCTGCGGCTCTTTGGGGCCTTCCGTGTGGCTCTTCCAGAAAAATACCACGGCCTGGGCGAGTCTACGTTGAAGAAGTGGCGTTAGAAGAAGTTTAAGTTTAAAACATGTGGCTCTCCAAAGAAACGTCAGTCATTGTGCTGTTGATATTTGGCACTGAGGACGAATGAGTTTGCCGCCCACTGCCCTGACCGGTTTGAGTGGATAGAGCATGGGCCCCCGGACTGAAGGGCCTCGGGTTCGATGCTGGTTAAGGGCACATATCACAGTTGCAGGCTCCATCCCCAGCCCCAGTTGGGGCTTGCAGGAGGCAACCAATCGATGTGTCTCTCTCACATCGATATTTCTCTCTCTCTCTCTTCCCCTCCTTTCACTCTCTCTAAAACTCAATTTAAAAAAAAAAATGTCCGGTTTGGCTCAGTGGATAGCGCATCGGCCTCCAGAGCAAAGGGTCCTGGGTTCGATGCTGATCCAGGGCACAGGCCTGGGTTGTGGGCTTGATCCCCAGTATGGGGTGTGCAGGAGGCAGCTGAGCCATGATTCTCTCTCATCCTTGATGCTTCTGTCTCTCTCTTTCTCTCCCGCTCCTTTTCTCTGTCTAAAATCCAATTTTAAAAACATTTAAAATTTTTTTAAAAAAGGCTATACAGCTAAAGGGCAGAGCCAGACCCGGCCGTGTGCTCCTTCAGCCCACAGACCCAGGGTCATCTCCCCCATTCAATCATGGGACACAGTGGTTGGGTTCCCCATAATTATGGGGGCCCGGGGGGAACGGAGAGGGGGCTGGCCTCAGGCACAAAACAAGGCAGTGGAAATCCCAACAGACACATTTCTGCCAGTTTATTGATGATGGAGGTATCTCCACGGATAAAAGGGGTTCACTTGTGTTCTGTAAAACAAAACAAAACAAAACAAAACAAAAAAACAACTTGGGGTGAAAGTGCCCTATTTTCGGCATCCACGCCTGCCCGCGTCACCCGTACACGCTGACACGGGCCCTGTGGCTCCCTGTGGGTGGCTCTCGACTGGCTCTGAGCCGCGAAGTCTCGACATCCAGGTTGATTGGTTTGCAAGGAGAGCCTCCGGGGCGTAACGCCCTCATCTATGAAAAGTGCTAACAGCCTCCGTCCCACGGCAACACACGGCCCCACCCAGGAGCCTCCGCCGAGGAACCTGACCTCCAGGGAGCGGAGTCTCCGTCTCCACGCACACCTGGCCCCTGGCCCTCGCGCCTCGGCTCCGAAGTAAGAGCTCAGCCCTGGCCGGGTGGCTCAGTAGTTAGGGTGCCGGCCCCCAGGGGTTTGCAGGTTTGATTCCCCATTCAAAGGCATGTGCCCGGGTTACAGGCTCGATCCCCAGACCCAGGCACGAGCAGCCTGCGACCTGATCGATGTGTCTCTCTCGTTGATGTTCCCCTCTCTCTCTCTCCTATCTCCCCTCCTTTCCCCTCCCTCTATCCCTTCCACTCTCTCCAACTAAACACTAACGGGAAAGCATCTCACTGGACTCTATGGTCTTAGAGGACCCTGCTGAGAACTGCTGAGAACACGACACACAGGTTGAGAGCCGCTGCTGTGGAGCCTGAGACCATCGGAAAACACAGGTATTTACGATTCAGAACAGCAGCAGAATTACAGTGATGAGGCAGCAGTGGGAAAAAATGTTACGGTTGGGGCTCACCACAACACGAGGAGCTGTATTAAAGGGCCGTGGCATTAGGAAGGTTGAGAGCCACTTACACATTTCGTCAGAATCCGGGTGGCTCAGTGGATGGAGCATTGGCTTGCGGACTGAAGGGTCCCAGGTTCGATTCCGGTCAAGGGCATGGACCTTGGTTGCAGGCACATCCCTAATGTGGGGTGTGCAGGAGGCAGCTGATCGATGTTTCTCTCTCATCCATGTTTCTCTATCCCTCTCCCTTCCTCTCTGTAAAAAAAAATCAATATTATATATATATATATATATTTTAAAATGGAGCCCTCCGCTCAGAGCAAAGGGCTGCATGCGGTGTTGGCTCAGTGTTATAATGAAAACTGGGGTGAATCCTTGGCCGCCTTTTGCAGAGGCGGAGAAAGACACCATTTTTTCGTTTGGTTCAAGTAAACCCACACGTCCCGGCTTCGGCTCTGTGTTTTAGGACTGAAAGACGGACCTGGGTTTAAAGTCAAAATGCAGCCCCGCCCGGGTTGGCTCCGTGGATAGAGCGTCGGCTTATGGACCAAAGGGTCCCGGGTTCGATTCCGGCCGAGGGCATGTCCCTCGGTTCCAGGCTCCTGCCTGGCTCAGGGCTTAAGCAGGAGGCGGCCTATCGACAATTCTCTCTCATCATGGTTGTTTCTCTCTCTCTCCCCCTCTCCCTTTCGCTCTTAAATCAATAAAAATATATTAAAAAAAAGAATAGTTGATAAATAAAAATAACCCAGAAAATCCTGCTCTCACATGCAGCCACCCCTGACTGCTGTCATTTGCAGCAACACGAATCCCAAACACACACACACACACACACACACACACCAACGCACAGACACCCAAAGGGGACAAATGAATGGGGGGTTGTGCCTGGGGCGGCCAGGCCCGCGGGGCCCAGCATCAAAGCATAAAGGGCCTCTGTGTCCGGCGGCTTCCTGGTCAGCTGACTCCGCCGGACACTGGGAGCCGCTGCGCCTTGAACCCGCACCAACCCCTCCCCCACTTTGTCTGCAGTGAGCTCCGGGGGGAACCAGAGCCATCACACCGCACACGCCCACCGCCAGCTCTGCCCAGAAGGCAGCAAATGCCGAGCAGGAGACCACGGGCCCTTCTGCAGATTCCACCGGGATCTGTCTGTCTTTCCTTTACATCGTTCTTTTCCTTCCAATGTTCCTCTCTCGTCGATGTTTCTAGTTCTCTATCCCTCTCTCTTTCTCTCTGTAAAAAAAAAATCAATTATATATATATATATATATATATATATATATATATTTTTTTTTTTTTTTTTTTTTTTTTAAGAGAGAGAAGGAAGGCAGCCTATCAATCTCTGAGTTTCCATACCTAAGACCCTGGTTGTTGAGACTTTTGCATTTCTGAGATTTGACTCACTAGGAAGAGATTCCATCTTTAAATATATATATGTGTGTGTGTGTATATATATATATAAAATATATTTTATTGATTTTTTTACAAAGAGGAGGAGAGAGGAATAAAGACATAGAAACATCAATGAGAGAGAAACATCCATCAGCTGCCTCTTGCACGCCCCCCACTGGGGATGTGCCCGCAACCGAGGTCCATGCCCTTGGCTGGAATCGAACCCAGGACCTTCAGCCCATGGGCTGACGCTCTAGCCCCTGAGCCCCACCGGTCAGAGAAAGGACTATTTTCGGTTCATGAATAGCCCACATTATTATTTTTCTGATTCTTACTCATACACATCCCCCCGCCCGCCCCTATATATAGCCTAAGCAGGAAACAAGTTACAATCCAAACCGAAGAGGGACGTCGCTAATTATATACGTGCTGTTCTTCCTAAATTCAAAGCAACTGCCTCACTTCTCTTCATGTTTTTAAAAAAAACAC